ATATATATATATCCATATATATATATATATATTACAGGATAGCTGCGTAGACAAGTTCTTTGAAGGAATCCATTATTAGGTATCCAGATTCAATTAACTTTTTCCCTTAAGCAATTTTTACTTTCCTTTTTCTTAGCATTAATTTCAGTAATCTACATATATATTCATAGCTGTTTAATTTTTAAATATTTTTTTATTATGTATCAATCACATCACAAAATCATGCGCATATTTATAATATCATATAGGATCTGTTATTTAGGTAAAAAAATGTTTCATAACGAATTTCGTTTGCAATGCTAAAATCGCGTAATGTGAAATATTTAGTGCATACGTGTTGTTGTTGTTGTTGTTGTTGTAGTTGTTAATGTTGTTGTAATCCGTTGCTCAATCTTCAGTTCTGATAGGTGCCTATAAAGGCGCCACAGCTGGAGCAGGTGTGCACAGCGCTCTGGCAGGAGTCCACGCAGTAGGGCACACAGCAGCAACAGATGCCGCTGCAAGGATATATGTAGTTATAGAATATACATACACACATACATACATATATACACATATATATATATTAGAGCTTGGCTCACCCCACTAGACAAATGAGTAGGGCCAATAGATGCGTCTTGGTGCTCGGCTCGTGGCTCACCGTCGTCTGCTGTCGGGCGTGGCACGAGGGGCAGACAGCAATCGTTGGCATGCGGCCTAAATTGTTCTGTGCTCCACCTGATCGGGAGTCGGATAGCAAACACATTGACAGTTAATTGTTCATTTGAATTAATGATTGATGATTATTTGATTAACCTTGCATATAGACCTGGGGCTGTTGCACGTTAATCACGGAGGGCCTCAACGATTCGCCCGGTGCGTCTACGTCCCCATATTGGGGCGGAGCATCTGGCGGCGATGGATATAGATTCGGTTTCGATGTCATTGCAACTCAACAAGTTCTAAGTAGTCCAAGAGTTCAATTAGCTGACTGGCTCACTGGTTCACTGGTTCACTTGTTCGCTTCCGTTTGTGGTCTGCTTCGCTTGCGGCTCGCTATGGAACTGAACAGCGAGAAATTTTGTTGCTCAGCCATTGCCTGCGCTGGGAATAGGCGTCTGTGTGGGTCTCACAGTGTGTGTGTGTGTGTGTGTGTGTGTCTATGTGCCACAGAGTGTGGGTGTGCGTGTGTATGTGAAGCCATTTTGCAGTCGTTATCCAGCTTAATATCCAACTATCAGCGGAAAGTACCCGTAACGCTAGGATAACGATTATGACTCACAGTTATCAATTAAAGAGTAAGCTCATACCTTGGCTACCTTGGCTATTGGTTCTGAGAAATTAATTATAGACAATCTTATAATAATAAAAATGAAAAAAAAAGATGTAATGTCATATATAATTATATAAATAT